TGTCTGAATCCAAAGAGCTACTGGAATTCCATGACTCATGCTTTCATGATGAGAAAATAAGAAATCCTTACTCTTTTCAGCCATGATATACTTGGTCTTAAAAGATGTCATGGAGAAAGATGTTCAGAAAAATTTAAATTTTCTAGTTTCAGCATCATGATAATAACCACAAAAACAAGGACTCCCAGGTCAGTGAGGGCAAAGCATGATGCTGAGAGTACAGGCTAAAATTAACAAGAACTCAGTGAGAAAGTTAAATACACACTGCGATCTATTTAGGAAAAAAGTGAGAGAAGCAATACAGATAATGCAGCTAAAACCAATCGGAGATAGGTTTATACATTTATATTTGCACTAAAAAATAAGAATACATGAGAAAAAAACCACTGAATGTCTAACCTAAGAATTTAAGAAAATGAGTAGCAAGACAAACACAAAATATAAAGATAAAAAGTGGATTAGATAGTCAGCAAAACAGTAGAATTTGCACATAACCTGATGAGCTAGTCCTTGAGTGGGAATATGTGGACAGACCTCTGGAAATGGGCTCACAGATGAATGAGGGGGAAGCAAATAACTGACACAGCAGAAGTTTCTATAGTTTGTGAAATTTCCCCACTTTTCAGCACTCTTTGTCCTTGAGTAAATTCTATGTGTAACATGTTTGTATCCTTATTTTGCTAATGATAAAACTAAGATAAAGCATTGAGGTTACCTTTTAGAGACACATAACTCGTTAGTAGTAAAATTATTATTTGAACCCAAATCTAACTTTATTGAATATTTTTCTAATAATCTCATATCATCCTTTCAGGGTGAGTATAAAAATAAAAGAATGAAAGTTTAATATCTCTGTATTGGTTCCTGCTGTAAAAAATCACCACGAATCATGCAGCTTAGAACCAGACACTGACTCCCTGACAGTTCTGCAATTTGGGGAATTGAAATCAAGGTGTCAGAAGGCCATGCTGCCTCTGAAGGCTCTAGGGGAGAATCTTCACCTTTTCCTAGACTCCAGTGATTGCTGGTATTATGGCTCCTGTCTAGATGTCCCTCCGAAGCCTCATGCAGTCATAGGTGGGGCTTTTTCACAGGTGGCTGGATCTAGAGCGTATAATGCTGGGATAAAGTGTGATGCTCAGATTAAAGGTGTTGTTGCAGAAAACAGACCAAACACAAGAAGAAACTGCACCAAGTGTTAAGGAGGCAGTTTATTACACTGGTGGGCTTCTGAGTAGGATCTCTCCAAAAGAGTCAGAGCGCTTCCTGGCGGGGATTCATGGTTTTTAAAGGGGAAAGTAAGAGGGGAGGTATGAAAGCAAATTTGGCACATATGATTGGAGAGTTGTGTGTCATCATGAGTTGACACATGTTTAGGGGAGTCTAAACTTTTCAGCTTACGTCATAAGGCTATCAGTTATACAAAAGAAGAAATGTCCTGTTACATCTTAAATTACATTGTAAGGCCATCAGTTACATGAAGGCAGCAAAAACAGGGGTTTACATAAAAGAAGTGTTTTTGTTACTAGGCCTGCCAGACACATGCACTTGGTTCCAGCAGGTGTTCTTGGCAGGACTTTATTTAAAATTTTAATTTTTCTTTTATAGTGTGATGCGGGGATTGAGGATGTGTGATTACTAAATTAGTTTGCGTTTTTGGGTGTGGATACTGGGAAGGCCTATCTAGATGTGAGTGCTACCCACCCTAAGGGCGTGTAGCCTGGATAGAATATAAGGGACAGAGAGAGACTGCTGTCTTTACTGGTTGCTTTGCTGCCTCCTGCCTGCCATGAACTGTTTCTTCCTGTGATGCTCCTCTGCCATGCCTGCCTGCCTTGGAGCCTGCTGATTATGGACTGAAACCCCTACTAACTGTGAGCTAAATAAACCTTTCCTCCTTTAACTTTGGATATATGGGGTATTTTATCTCAGCAATGACAGCTAGCAATTCTTGGCCTTCTGCGGTTCATGGCCAGTCTCTGCATCTGTCTTTGCATGGTATTTCCTGTGCGTCACCATGCTGTCTTCTCGCTGCACATGTCTCCTCCAACTTCTCCACTTGCAAGGACTCTGGTCATTGGGTTAGAGCCACCCTAACACAGTGGAAACCCATCCTATTGAATTACAGCAGCAATGACTATTTCCAATGACACCACATTCTAATGTTCCAGGCAGACCCAGCTTTTGGAGAGACACTGTTCAACCCAGTGCCATGTCTTTATTTCCTGTGACTGTGGTTTTAATAGTCTCTCCCATGTCACTCACTTAGTGAATTGTATATACATCCTGCTGGCAATAATTTATCCTGTGCAAGAAGTGGGCCAGGTGCTTGATTTGATGGCCTTCAACTCAGAAAGGAAAAGGCCTTTGAGATTTGAAGCTGCAATATTGCGGTCCCTACTAAAATAGGGACAGGGTGGGAGTAAATGTCCTGTGCTCTAGAGCAATCTGAGAACTGCTAAGTCTCAGGCACTCAGTGAGGGAGATGAAATAGGACAAATTCAGAGGATACTAGCCCAGATCCTGAAGTCCTCTGACAGCAGCTGGGGACACGGCTAGGATGACTGTGACAGCCCCAGCTGTGTGCCTGGTGTAAGATGGAGGGCATGAACATGCTTCTGATACTTGAAGGACTACCAGTCATAGGAACTGGGTTTGCAGACTCTGTCTCTAGATAGAAGAAGCACAACCGGTGGGTAAAGCTACGGAGATTTCTACTTCTGCTCTGCTAACAGAAGGTCTTTGGGACATAGGAATATCTGAGGACTTCACTAGGGTCACAGACCTTGGTACCTGCATGTGTGCAAGTTTTGTCCTTGAAGCTGCCACAGCTGGTGAGTGATACCTTGTGCTGGACAGCTAGGGGGAGGTAAGAGGGAGATGGGTGTCAGTGGATTTTATTTCTTGCTGACCTCTCCAAGTTAGTCACACACAAGATCTCTGTTCAAAGATTGGGGAAACACATACTCAAAAATCACTTTGTGCGTACTTGTGCATATTCACAGTGTTTCTGAATTTCAGCATAGAGGTTTGCATAAAATTAAGTTACTCTTATGGGCAGATACTGTGCTGTGGCCTAGCAATACAAAGTTGAAAAAGACATGGGTCTCTACTCCAGAGGGCTCACAGGAGAGTGGGAGACATAGAACAGCAGGTAGAGGCAACCTCTATGACCGTGTAAGAGTTAGGTGTTATGCATAAGATAAATATATGGAGGGATTCAGGGGTTCAGGGAGTAGCGGGGAGCAGAGAGGAAGGGGATAAAAAATGTCATGTACATGTTTCAATTTCCCCTGATGAATGGAATCATTTTGTACTATAAACATGTACCAATTTAGAAAAGAATTAGGTATGGAATAAATAATTGAGTCTTCAGTGAGTTTATTCACAGAATATTTTTGTTTCAGTCCTAACACTGACATCTTCGTGGGGTGAGCTGCTGTCCTGATTCTCCTGGGAGTAGGCAGTGTCTCGAGACATGATAGTTTTGGTGCTAAAACCAGGGAAGTCCTGACAAACTTGAGATATCTTGGTTACGCTGATTTACAGGCTTAAAAAACAAGAAAGAAGAAGAAAGACTAAAAACAGTTCTGGTAGTAGCAGCAACAACAGCTATGGGAACCGAACAAGAGGACATGTGTATGTCCTATGGAGCCCCGGGGAAGGCCCTCCTCTGCCTTAGCGGTTGGGCGTTCTTACCATTGCATTCCCGGCAGTGTCTCAGCACAGAGCAAGAACTCAACTATATTAGCCAAATACATGCATTAATTTATGTATGTCCAAAAGCATTTGAGCTGAGGCCTGAAGGCTATGTAGTATTTTAACCGTAGGAGAAAGAAGTGTAGGTGGAAAAAATGGCAAAAATAGAGAGCTCTGGTGTAGTGACTGGTAAATACGATGCGGGGTGGAAGCTGGCCTTTTCCTGTGGCTGTTAATATCTTTCTTGGGTAAAGTCCTTGAAACAATAAGTCTATTGTATTTCCTCTCTTCTTTTTTCCATCCTGGAGAACCCCCCCCTCCTTTCTGCTTCCGCCTCTCTTGTCTGCTGGAAGAGATAATGTCTGCTGCAGAAGAGTTGCTACTGGGCTTTTTCAGGCAAACCTAGGTGGAAGACACTGTCCAGGGCGGCATTTCCATTTGGGGATGTGCTGAGAGGCAGGTGGAGTTGGGAGGCTGAGAACTGGCCAAAGAAGCACAAAGAACTGGGTGATGTGGACGCACGAGAGAAGGGTGAGGGGCAGGGCACCTGGGGCCAGCTGGGGACGGGTCCCCTGCTGAGTCACAGAGCATTGTGCACTAACTTGCCTTGGGCTGTGCAGGTGTTTCCTGCTGGATCCCCATCACAGAGGACACAGAGCGAGGGAAAGAGAAGTAAGGGGGAAGAAGGATTTATGGAGCAACTGCCATGTGCCAAGCAAACACTGTTGAGTGCTTTTATATATGCACAGTCCATGCACATATTTTCAAAGACTGTGTTATTATCTTCATCTTATACTGAAGAAGCAGAATAAAAGACTCAGTAACTTGCCCAAGATGCTAATTCATAGCTGGTCCAAGCCACATTTGAACTTGGTTCTACCTGGCTTTACAGAGCTTGTTTCTGACTCCCCATCTCCCTCTTCATCTCAGCTGATAAAGTGAAAACTCTCACAGCCTCCTCCCTCTCTCAGTGGTAGTGGAGCCTTTCTCCGCAAGTGCACCTAACATTCCTTCCTGGGACCCAGAGCACCCTGCCCTGCATCTCCTTAACATTAAACATATTTGGACCTGAACAAAGCCCTCAACTCCATGATGGGCTCTAACTTTCACTGCAGGGTGCTGTGGTTTGGGTCTTGGGTGTCCTCTTCCTGCTGCAACTTGGTCCCCAGCCTGTGGTGCTATTACAAGTGGTGGAACCCCTTGGAAACGGGGCCTAGTGGAAGAAGTTAGGACATCAGGGGGTGCCTTGAAGGGGACATTCGGATCCTGGGCCATCCTCTTTCTTTCTTTTTGCTTCCCAGGTGGCAGGAAGTAGGAGCTGCCCTACCCTGTGCTCTTGCCTGAATGTTCTGTGCTGTCCTGACTCAACACAGTGGGCCCAAGGAATCATGGACTGAAACCTCAGAACCGTGAGCCTCCTTGTAAGTAGATGGATCTCAAAAATTTGTTAAGGCATTGGAAAAATGAACATACGATACTAGGAAGGTGTGCTTCTTAGAAGGGCATAGTTACCTCTAGGAGGAAGTCCAGGGAATCGGATAACCTCTGCTAGCCAAACTACTCTCTTAGTATTTGTGGCCCTGGCTTTTTAACAGGACAGAGATGAATGTAAGGACAGAGATTCCAGTCTAGGCTGTGCTGTACCTTAGCTGTGTGACCCAAGTCCCTGTACTTCCTAGGCCTTAGTTACATTGTCTCCAAAACTGATGCATTATATTTGGTCTATCTAACTCTCAGAAAAGTATCCTGAGAGATTATCCTGGGTGTAGTAATAGATCTTAGCTCCAAGAATGTAAGATCCATGAGGGATATTAATTTAAAATCTTTTGTGGGGCAAAGTGGGTGTAGGTAAAATATAATATGTAACATCGGTGGTTAGTAGGTTAAAGAAAGAGAAACCTAAACACAGTGTAGCTCAAGCCAGAAAGGGGATTTTATGTGCTCAGAGTCATGAGGAAAGCAAGGATGGAGTCAGCTGCATACAGAGCCAGTCTTGGCCTCTGGCCTGCCAGCCCCTGTGCTCATCTTGGGCCACTGCCTTACAGCCTGTCAATCTCATGCAGTGCTCATCTTCACGGGCATCCTCTGAGCCACATGATACCAGAGCTCCAGGATTATCTCCCAACCTTGTAAGGTCCTTTAAATTCAGGAAATTTAGAAAAGTATACAGTATATATAGAAAAGTATAGGGGCTGGGGATTTAGCTCAGCGGCAAAGCGCCTGCCTGGCAAGCACAAGGTCGTGAGTTAGGTTCCCGGTACCGGAGAAAAACCAAAAAAAAAAAAAAAAAAGAAAAGTATATATATAGAAAAGTGATATATGTACAGTCCTGACCTTCACTTCTTTTTTTTTTTTTTTTTCCTCCGGTACCGGGAACCGAACTCACGACCTTGCGCTTGCCAGGCAGGCGCTTTGCCGCTGAGCTAAATCCCCAGCCCCCTGACCTTCACTTCTATATTTTGTGGTCAGATAGAAAACAAGTTTCTTCCTGCAGTTTGAGGTAGACAAGTCCCATGGAAGCCTTGTCTGGCCTGGCTGGATTGTGTGTGTGCCCTGGTCAACCACCGTGGCTCTGGATGGGTATCATTACTGGCCCATGTGGTCTCAGCAGAGGAGAAAGCACAGACATGGTTATTCCTGCTTGGGGTCACAACAACTGAATGTAAGTGAGAACAGATACGTGAGACTTCTGTGGGCTTCAGGTTCCTCAGCAGTGCTCCAGCTCCAGGGATGCAGGCTATCCTGGGGTGTGATGAAGCCTTCGCCTTGACTGGGAATTCTCACCAGTCCTTGCTCAGGTAAGCTTGGCTGGCTGGCATGTGAAGAAGGCATCTGCTTCCTTTGCTGAAGTCAGTGTGAAGAGTATAGCGAAGTGACCTGGCTGGTAGATGAACCTTCAGTGCAGCAGGGGATGGAAATGGAACAAGTATCTGTGCTGCACAAGGGGGTCTGGAGCACCTGGCAGCATATGACAGAGACCGAAGGAGGCACTGACATGCTTGGGGATATACCACAGTGGGAGGAAGACCTTTGAGGGAGAGGGCTGGCATGTACCACCGTCCTGGGGGGGGGAAGCATGCTGGAGGAAGTGAGAGAGGTTCTGCGTGTCCTGCTGTATAGGACAAGGGGACACATCAGCAAGGAGGCAGGCAGGTCACCTGGAGAAATACTCCAGTGCAAACCCATGGTGAACACACACTGCATCTCCCCATCTCTGGTCAGGTGGGCTTGTGATTTTACAAGAGGTCGGTGTCCAACTCCAACTCCATCCTATCATTTTTTGTCCCCTTTAAGAGCAAACCTTAGAAATGCAGGGAGCCTTGGGAGCTGGGAAGTTATTGCAGGGTGATTTCCCTCTTTCAGGAGAGCTCAGCCATGCTTAATTAGTTTAATTAGAGGCTCCAGGTGCGGGTTCCGATTGCCCTGGAGGCAGACAGCACAACAGGGACCAGGTGGCAGAGCCAAAGCCCCTGTGAAGGGGGCACGAACTTATCCCTGAGATGGCACTTGTCTGCCTTGCAGAGGGCCAGCCTGGTCCAGACTGCTTAGCTTGGACTTGGCACTAACAGACCCACAGGCCCAGCCCTGGTGTTGTGTTCGCTCCCTAAAGTGCCCTGTGGGTCCAGGAGCCTTCCGTCTTCTGTGGCCCAGGATTTTGCTTCAGTTCAAATCAGACTTCCAGTTTGTTTTCAGGCTTCACTCGGCATGCTTTCCTCCTGTGCTGTGGGGTAGGCAGTGGGGAAGGGGGCTAACATGGCCCCCAACTCTAGCATGGACTGTGGGTAAATCAAGTTACCATTTGGAGGAGTGTGCTTTGAGAGAGGGAAACAGAGTGATGGTGGGATCTGGAGGGAGCCCCAGATTCTTCCTAGAGGGCTGAGCCAGCCTACCTAAGCCCTTCCCAGGGGGCCAACTCTTCCCTGGGAAAGAAACCTCTCCCAGCACCCCAGCAAGGGCTCGCTGCTGCCTTCTCCTGTTGAATCTGCAACTCTGAATGCCTGCCAGATCCTATGGTGATGGTGAGCCTTCTAGAGCTTCCAGTGCTAACAAGGAGCCCACTGCAGCATGCACTGTATAGGTTTGTCACCACTGTTAGGCACTTCCAGCTAGCTCTGGTGTTTGGAGAAATCACACTGGGTGTGAAGTTTTGTGTTCTGAATGACAGGACTAATGGCAATAATTACAATCCCTTACCTTGTAGAACACTTTGCAGTTTGCCAAGTATATTCACAGCCATCACTCCAGGGAGCCTAGAGTTCACAGGATGGAGCAGGTAGCGCCAGCTCAAGCTGTTCCCTGCTTGATTCCAGGTCCTGGGCCTCCTCCTCCCCATTCCTGCTCTAGCGAGGGAAGGGAGAAAAGAGTATCTGCAACCTGCCAGTCTATTGGCTGAGCACTTCCCATCCATCATACTATCCTGTTTAATCTCATATCAGCTCACCGAGGGTGGCTCATTTGGCACCCTTATCCTTAGGAAGCAGAAGCCTCAAGGAGAGAAGGCATTCAGGCAACATTCTACCACTCCACAGGGAGCGGAGTGGGGCTTTCTTCTGGCTCGGCTCTCCTTCCAGCCAGCCACACACAGCAAGGTTCTCCTTAGTATTTATATGGGCACTTATCTCTCAAAGTCAGGCACAGAGGAGGGGCTTAGCCAAAGTCTAAGGTCTGATTTGTCTGTTTCTTTTCTTTCCTTTCCTTTCTCCCCCTGCCTTTTGCCCTCAGGGTGGGCATGCAGTGAGCAGGGAAGGGGTTTTGTCCCTGGGACCTTGGCCCTGGGCATGGAAGAAACCCTAGTCCCTGCCTGGGCATCTGTTCGTTTTTCACCTGGACTGACTCCAGTGAGGAGCAGGACGGGGAGCTGTTGAGCAGGGATTGTTCCTTCATCTTCCCAGTGCTCCAGCCCTGACTGCTGCTGGAGGTGGCTGCCTGGCACCTGGAAGTAGCTGTGCCCTCCCAGCACTGCTGTTGCCCAGGGCCAGCCGTGTCTGATGCAGCCCTTTCTCTGCTCCTTGCTTTCCCAGCCTCCTTGGAGATCAGATCAGTGATCCTGGATCCGTTTCACAGCCCCTGGGTCCCAAGGGTTGCAGCTTATTTTCTTATTTCCCTGGGGATCCTGGCTGACTTCATCCAGCACCCACCCTCTGGGCCAGGCAGCTGTGGGTCTGAGGGTGTTGAAATAGGCTGTGCCCTTCAGGCTCTCCCAGGGGGCCTTGAAGCCTCCACCTTGAGAGAGAGGGCAGGTGGAAGGAAATTGGGCTCCCTGGGGAGAAGGAGGCCCACACAGCCAGTGGGGTGCATGGGCTCGGTCTCGGGGGTGCCCAGGGTTTCCCAGGCAGAGACAGAGAGACACTTCCCTCAACCTGCTGTCCCATGCACAAGCACGGACACAGCTCCTGTGGGGTGGCCTCATGATGGGGACAGTATGTGTGTTGCTTGCTTGGCTCAGTTCCTCATCTGTGAGCCCTTGCATCCCCAGACTATTGCCTGGGGTCTGGCTACCCTGTCTTGTTTGCGTATTTTCTTTGAAGTCGGTCCATTTTGATGCTGTCTTTCAGGAAGTAGAGCTGGCCTGGTGCAAAGGGCCCTGCTGCTCAGGACTACACTGGACCTGGGTCTGGCTCCAGTGCTTGGCACTTTCTAGCTGGAGCCCTTAGGCTAGTTTCCCCAAGCTCTGTTTCCTTATCTGTAGAAGGGAGGGCCGTCACACCCCAGGGGCTCACACCCCAGGGGAGGGTTGAATCAGAGCTGTGGCAGCCTTGCCTGGTAGCTATCAGCATTCAGTAAACATCAGATGGCCCCATCCAGAGGTGGGGCCTGTGGGGCCGCTGCACATAGGCTGACCTGGGGGAGTCTGGTGGAGCTGGACAGTTGCCCCAGGCTCTGACTCTGGCCTTGTCAGTGATGAGACCCCTGGCCCTTTTGGCAGGCGCCCCGTGCTGAGTCACCGGCTGCCTTCGGCTTCCCTGTGTAGACAGCCCTGCTAAGTCACGTCTCCCACCGTTCCTGGAGCCATTGGTGCAGCGGGGCCTCGTCCAGGGCTTGACATTTAGGCTTGTGAAATTCCACTGTGGGTACAGTTAGCCCATCCTTCAAACCTGTCTGGACTCTGCGTTCTGCCTTCTAATATTTGCTTGCCTGTTTCCTAACAGGATTTCCTCCCAGCCCAAACCATTTAACAGACTACGGCCAGAGGAGCTGTTTGAAAATATTGTTTTCCTATACTCTCTCCTGTCCAGAATGCTTTGATGAGTACTGAATGCGTAAAGCTCAGACTCCTCTGACACAAGAAGCCTTATGATCTCACACCAATTTATTTTTTGCCCTCTTTTATTTTCTTTCTCATGCCCCAATAAGGATGGTAAACATTTCTGTATCAGGATTTTTGAGAGGGCTATTGAGTTCATCCTGGAAAAGCATTTGGAGCATGGTTTTCAGGACTTTGAGGCAGCTGAGATCTTAGAGCACTTAACCAACCAAGGTGAGCCTGCCAGTCGGTTGGTCACAACTGCTGGGTGGGAGAACAAGAGTTCACACCCATCACCAGGCATAGCCAGAGTAGCCCTGAGCCTCAGCTCCTATGGGGTGGAGTGACTAGGACCAGAGGATACCTGCTATTGGTGGGCTGCATGTGGAGAGTATTTTGGTTTCATTCATACCCAAGTTAACTGGGCAGTGTTCAGAGCTGGATAGTCCCTACAGGCCCATATGTCTGAGGTTTGGTGCTCAGGTTGGTGCCAGTGGGGACTGGTGAGCCTTGGAGAGGTGGGGGGACTTTTCATCATGAGGTGGAGACCTTAATGATGATCTTGTGAGGCTCCGTGGGTCTCCTTTGCTCTTCTTTTGTGTCCTGGCTATGAGGTGAGAGACCTTGCTCCACCACACTCCCTGCATTGCCATCTGCATCCACACCACATCCTGAAAGCAGTGGGTCCACCCAGTGGTGGAGCATGGGCCAAAATAAACCTGTTCTCTTCGTAGGTTGATCTCAGCTCTGCGGCTGTAGTCATACAAAACACCACCACAGATGCCTGGAGAGCTGGTAAATTGCTTCTGGGTGTGTTTCTGAGGCCTTTTCCAGAGAAGACGGGCATGTAGGTTCCTGCACTAAGTGGGAAAGACCTGCCCTGAATGTGGACATCCTCCCTGAGGAATCTGGGAGACCAGATGGAACAAAGAAGAAGTCCCAGCCTTCTCAAGGGGAGCTGCTGCTGCGGTCCACGGACATCAGCCCTTGCATGTGGACTGCAGCAGCAGTTCCACAGGGTGCAGGGGTCCCAGCCTGGGAGAAGGTGTACCTCACTGGCTTCTCTGTTCAAAGGCGTCTTGCTCTGGGATGAGAGCCTACTGATTTCCCAGGCTGTTCAGCTTGCACATGGCTCCAGAGGGACTTCTCTGCCTCTGAGCACATGAACTGATACAGCAGATCCCCATTCTGTGCATCTGGAGAACCCTGACTAGTGCTGAGAGGAGCCCTGTGCTCAAGGGGGCTGCAAGCAAACAGCCCTCTGTGCTAGAGGGAGACGGACTCTCCCTCTGTTCTCATTCTTGCCTTTTTGGTTTTTGGTTTTTGAGACAGGGTCTCACTAGCTAATTCAGGCTTGCCTTGAACTCACTATGTAGCCCAGACTGCTCCCAAACCCACTACAATCTTCCTGCCCCAGCTTCCCGAGTGCTGGGATTACTGGTGTGTACTACCAGCCCTGACTTCCCTTTCATATAAACATCCTTGAAAAGGCAGTCTGGAGCAGAGGTGTTCAGTCCTGATTATAAAATGTGTAGAAACACACTGTGTCTGTGGATCTGCCTCCCTAGAGGGCCGGGGATGTTGGGAGCGCTCTGTGAACACTGGCCAGGGTGGGGACACGGCGCTGTGCATGCTTGGTTTCCTTCTGTATGGGCTCTTCCTTTAACGTGATCCATGAGCATGACTTCTGTCTTTACTTGACTTCCCTCCTGTCTCCCTAGCTTCCAGCTCTGTCTGAACTCTCCACTTCTGCTCCATGTCTTCAGCAAATCTCTCCGGACCCCTCTGTCCAAGCAGATGTGCCTCCAAACTGTGTGGTGCTGTTTGCAGGGAGCAACATGGGGTCCCTCCTTCAGACTCTGTAAGGCCTGCACCTCAAATGCTGTTCGTTTCCCTTCGGGGAGCCCGGCCTCCTTGTTTATCAGCTCAGATAACTTCTGCAGGAGGTGTCCCAGTCTCCTCTACTAGCCCAGATTAGGATCCTGTGGCATGAGGGTGACCTCCAGGCAGCATTTCTTGCCTCCCCTTCTCTCTAGACTTGGAGGTTCTAGAGAGTCCTTGTGGGTCCCAGCACCTGCCACAGTGCAGGGTGCACAGAGGCATTTAATTAACATTTACAAGTGAATAAATGATTACATGAACATAAGAACACTCTTGTCATGTATTCATGCAAATTAACATGCCTGACCTTAGCAGAAACCCCTGGAGCATGCCCCATTCTCACCCAGGTTCATTAGGTACTTTCTTAGCATCTGTGGGCCAGGGACGAGATTTGCAACTGGCCCTTACACTCTGCCACATGTGTCAAACTCCACACTGCCAGAGGATGTCTGCGAGCCCAAGTGGACCTCTGTTTAAGAATGTTTACATTGTTAGAAGTACTACTCATTTTGACTTTATAGGAAGGAAAATTCTAGTAAGCCCTTTCACAGCAATTTAAAAGCCATGAACTCCATGTGCCTTTAACTTAGTAAACAGCACACTCATTTCATCCTTAATAGTTTACAAAATCAACACTGGCTTAAATTAATGGTCGTTTGTCACTTCATGGCAAGTTTCAAATTGCAAGTGCATTTTACAGGGGCCTTTGAAGGATGATATTCCAAAGAGTCTCAGAAAAGTGCCCTAGACCTGGGGCTGAGTTTGAGACAAGCTCCCAGTTTTCCACAATATGATAAAATTCGACCAAAAATTGAAAAAGTTGGACGCTTTAATTAAATAAGCCCTTCTGACGGTGGGGGAGGCAGAGAGCACAGGGTTCAGAGAAGCCTGCATTTGAATTCTGCTTCTCTTAATTCGCTACTGGGCCTCAGTTTCTTCGTTTGTGAAAGAGGGGAATAGAACACAGTGTAGGACTGTTGGGGGCTTCACTGAAGTAATTCGTATTTAAAACACACAGCCTGGGACTCACAGTAAGCGCTTAACAAATAGCCAGTAGGTGCCCAAGAGATGGAAGCCCCTGCTTCTGGACCCCTTCCTGCGGTCTGATATTTAGCTCTGGATGAATGAATGTGGCAATTTCAATTTTCAAAGACTCCTTGTACAGGATTGATAGAGTGAGGGGCAAGTGGGGGCTCTTTCGCCTGGAAACCACGACCTGGAAATGAACTTTCCTAATCAGCGCAGCGGCATTCCAACAGCTGGTTCTACTTTGGAATCAGTTGGAACCTCCTGGCCCCTTGCTCTTTTTTCTACTACGAGAAAATGCCATCCTGCGGCTCGGATTTAGAAATTTGCCACACTGAATCAGAAACAGAATCTGTGCCCAAGGTCAAGGTCAGGGTCCCTGTGAGGCCCCGGCCCTGGGGCTGCCACAGCCTGCCTGTGGCCTCCAACCCGAGGCCAGGGATCTTCAGCACCACCACCAAGCCCTCTCCTGTTGCTGGCCACCGGCCGGTCACCGCCCAGATTCTGTCTCAGAGAGTGAGTCACATTCGGATGTGGAGAGCACGTTAAATAACAATTTTTAGGATATGAGTGTTAGAGTGCAGCAGAAGAATGCCTTTGATTTGGAAAGGAACTGCTTTCTAACTGCCTGCCTTGTAATTGGCATCTGCCCGCATTGCTGGGTGAGGCGGGCTCAGAGTGTCCCTGGGACCTCCCAAACGGCCAATGTTGCCCTGGGTGCCTTAGGTACTGAGGATGTGGGTCTCGGGGCCGTTCTCACCAGCCGCTGAGGCTTGGCAAGCCCTTTGATGGATGCACTGCAGGTGGGGAGTGAAGACCTAACTAAGCTTCCTCCCTGTGTGGCCTCAGGCATCTTTCTTGGCCCCTCTGAACTTCTATTTCTCATTTAAAGACTGAAGAGATGGCTGTTGCTCTTATCTCATAGCGCAGCCTCCCATCACAAATGACCACAGATGCTAGAATTGTTCCTGAGTGAAAAACAGCAAGTGCCATTAATTAAGCACTTACTGGCTCCAGCTCTGTGTTAGGGACTTTATCATCTAATGAATGAGATGGAAAAGTGCAAATGTCTGTTATCTTTTTGGAAAAGAGCAAGAAGGCAGGTAAAGTGGCATTTTGAGCACCTAATGTGTAATAGTCACCACCCTGTGTACTTTCAGACACATTCTGTTGTTTTGCCCTTTTTTCAAGCTTTAAGTCTTATTATGGTAGCTGGTAGAAGAGAAAACTGTTGCTTAAAGGATTAAGTAACTTCGCACATAAGTGGTATCGCTAAGGATTCCAACCCAGTTTTGCTGTTAGAAAGGGCAGAGGTGATTGAAAAATACACTGAATGTTTAAATTTTAAAAATTCTTATTAGAGTAAAAGATACATTGCCAAGAACAATGGGAATAGGGTATTTGAAGTGAGGGGGAGTATTGTGAGGGGGATTAATGGCAACAATTTTTACTGTTACAAACTTTCTTATTTCTGAATTCATGTATGTTTTGATCACTCTGCATATGTAATTGTTTCTCCTTTCCTGATGTTGCTGATGTGTGTGGAGTTCAGGCCAGGCGAGGTCTTGAACAAGAAATGGGGAGAATCTTCAGGTGCACTGTGGAGAGAGACCCCACGCAGGGCCCCAAGGAGTGAGGACAGGGCAAGGCAGCCCACTGACCCCTGCTGCGTACACCAAGGACCCTCACGGTGGTGGAGATGGTGCCTCCCCAAAGCCTCCCAGGGGAGGACCCAGGCCCATATTCTAAGTGGTCGAGGACACCCTCAGACACTTGCTCCCGCAGCTGCACAGACAGCCCCTGTGTACAAAGCCACCGAACACAATTTGGTACAGAGTGGCAGCAGGGCCCGCATGCTTACTCCACACCGAAGCCTGACGTGGCTGCAGGCATCTGGAAGCTGGGCCACACTTTCAGGACTTCATAAATACCTGGTGAGCACTGTTTGGAACTGGCCCGGCTAGACACCAGATGCGCAGCTGTGAAGGAGTAGAACGTAGTGCCTGCATGCCTGGGCTTACCATGGAACAGGGCTATAAATGCGACAGCCTCCATAAATACCACACACTGAACAGCTTTAAATGACAGACACTTGTTGCCCCATTGTCTGGACACCGGAAGACTGTTGTCAGATGCGGGCAGGGCTGGTCCCTTCTGGAGGTATAGGGGAGAATCTCTGCGCCCCGCCTCCTCCTAACTTCTGGTGGTCCCTGGCTTGCACAACCTCACCTTGAATTCTCTGTCTGCCTCATCTGCCTCTCTCCTCCATGTGTCTGTCCCCCTGCCCTCTTCTTATAAGGACATTAGTCACTGGATTTAGGACCCACTTGGATCTGAGCTATCTCAGTTTGAGATTCTTCACTAAAGCTTCCAAGAGCCTCTTCTAAGTAGGGTTCTGGGTATACTTAGCTTTTGAGGTACCCCACTCAATACTCTGCAAGGGGCAAGAATAAAATTGAACAAAAAATTTCTGTACTTACACGTGGAATGCTTACAGTCTCTGAACCTCTGATTCCTTATCTAGAAAAGTGAGAATAATGCCTACCTTATGAAGTTGAACGAAGTATTCAATTGCTTGAGTTGACTGGATAAATGATGAAAACATCAGTGGCAATCATTGTGTACAGAATTCCTTTCCCTGCTGGTCCAGTTTTCCTTCTGCTCATTCATTCATTGAAGATGCATTAAGCCCCTGCTGCATGCTCAAGTGAGCCCTGGAAACACAGGGTGGGGGTGGATGAACATTTAGCTCCCCGGAATTCACGGTGTATTCACCGTGGTGGGTCAACGTATGTGGCAGCTGGACAAGCCACAGGGCACCCAGACATTTTGTCCAACACTGTTTCAAGCATTTTGTGTGGGTGTTTTGGGATGGGATTATATACCTTGGTAGAGGAGTGAAGCAGCCTTCCCTGTGTGGTTGGCCCTGTCAATCCGCTGAAGTCCTGACTAGAAGAGAAAGCCTCCATGAGAAGGCATCCTTGCCTGGCAGGTTTTAGGCTGAAACCAGAGCAATGGCACTTCCTGGGTCTCTGGTCTGCCAGCCTTTGGGTTGCAGCTGTACCATTTGCTATCCTACTTTTTGGGCCTTTGGCCTTGGCTGGGTGCAACCGTGATGTGTTCAGCTCATTGCTTGTCTACAGAGCTTGGGCCTTCCAGGCGCCCGTGTACATTTGAGCCAATAAGGAATCATCTATGTAATAAATTAATCTCTCTTTGTGTGTATGTCCCGCTCTTCTGTCTCCGGAGAACCCCAGCCAGTACAATCCTCACGATCATCTTATCTCCTTTGTATTTATCCCATGCTTCCTCATCCATTCTCTTTTCATCTAAAAAACAGTGTCATTAATTAGGCGAGACAGGTCCTGTGAAACTCCCCACTGGACAGAGGGTAACTGAGGCTGAGGGAGGAGTCTCTGTGACTGTGCCACACGCGGCTGACCCTCAGAGGCCTCCACACTGCTGCTCTCTAACATAGGAGCTGGCTTTCGATTACTTTTACTACAGCCTGTTTTTTTTGTGTGCAGGGCAGAAAAACAATCACTCTCCTCTTTGAATTTTAAAATAGGCTTGGTCATCAATTAGAAACCTCTTAGGATTCCCTAGGGGAGAAATCCGAGCCTGGTAAAACGTGGGCTAGGCTAGTCTTGTAAAATAATACATAAGCAAGATCTTCCAGAAAAGCCTGGACGAGACTTCAAAAAAAAGTCCAGATGAGTCATAGAGACCGAGGTTGGAAATGACTTTGGAACTTATTAATTTTGGCCCCTTCCTTACACAGCCAGAACCTGAAGCCCAGAGAGGGTAGCTGGCTTCCAGAGGCACACAGTGTAGGAGGAGCAGATTTACATGATTGCCAAATGCCTCACATCCAGGCCTGTGCTCTGCCACTATTTCCTGCTTATCTGGCCAGAGCAGACCACTCCCTTCTCCAGCTCCTGGGGAAATTTCCCACCAGTGCTGTGGAGTGGAAGTGGAGTGGTGCTGGAGGAAAGCTCCCTTTCATTTCAGGGCTCACAGACAATCCTCTGAAATGCGAGTTACCACGCGTGGCCCTGCATTTGGAAGAAGAACGTTTTGGAGTCACACGGTCCTGGATCTCAGTCCTAGCTCCTTGTCTGCTGACTCTGGGAAAGTGCGCACATTGCAGGAGCACCTCCAGTCTGTTTTCTCATCTGGTGAGCAGGCCTGGGACCCAGGCTTCACTCCCATTTCTCT